GACGTAGCATGTTCGTACGAACCCTTTGTACGAACAAAAGTAAGAGAAATTTAGGATAAGAATACGAACATGTTCTTGCATGAGGCCCATTATTTCAAGCAAAAACTTCAAGGAAAGCCCCTGGAACTGAAGAGATAATGAGAACATGTGGTAATGAAAAAGTTTTGGTTATGTTGTATAATGCAATATTTTTTCCATATTTGATTTACTATGTTGAGGTCTGGGGGAAAGAATGTAAAACAACTACAAATCCCATCTTTATTTTACAGAAAACAGCCATAAGAATTATCACCACAGTCACCCTTCAAATATATTATTTTGTCAGTAGAAATTATTGAAATTTTATTAGTTGGTTGATCATAATATTTTGCAGGTTATGCAYAAAGCTCATAAAAATCTATTACCTTTAAGTATTCAATTAAATTTTGTTAAGAGAGTAAGTAATTATAACCTTAAGGGTGTAGAGATGTTTGTAAAGCCCAAAATTCAAACAAATTTGAAGGACAGATGTACTTCAGTCCAAGGAATAAGATAATAAAAACAATCTGGAAAGTGATTATAAAAATGCTGGCTCAATAACTTTATTCAAGAGGATGATGAAAGTTAGATTGTTGAGGAGATATGAATTTGTATAATGTGCATTCACAAGAACCGTTGTTTGAGAAGGAGCTGAAGCTTTTTTATGTTTTGTTGTTTGAAGAGTATTATTGTTTCAATTTATTTATTTTAAAAAAGGTGAAGATATCAATTAGAATTTATTTCTTCTTTCTGCTACCTTTCATTTCATTTGTGTTGTATTATTGTTTGTCGTATGTATGGCATTTGTTTTGTTTTTAAATGAAATGAATAAATTAAATAAATTTAAAAAATATATTGGGAAAGCAAAAAAAACCTACAGCATAATGACGGTCAGTGTTGTTGATGGGCAGGCCATTCTTCTTCCACATCACGTTCGGCTCTGGATGTCCAACTGGAGGAGCACAGTTTAAAACAGCAACGTCCCCCTCTGCCACTTCCACATCACTKGGTTCCACACCAAACTCCTCCTGCAATGCTGCAAAGTCACAGACAGCAGTTAGGTTTACATGGTTCAACATTACAGAGTCCAATCAGATCAGGAACCATGAACAAAATAAAACATCTCCGTGAAATATTWGACATGCAACAAATCTTGTTTTCATGTAGCATTTCACTAATATGAGACAGACTCAAACATTCCTGTACTTCCAGAAAWCACAAGTGTTATCCCATGTAAGGTTGGGAGACATGATTAATTGTGCCATTTTGCCGATAATGATTAACATGACGTTAACTCCCTGGAGTTCCTGGATGCCCAAGCATGTCCTAGTCACATGACGGATTTAAATAAGTCTAGCAGGAAATATGCCCTTTCAAAGAATCTGTTCCAATTTGTGTGAAAGACAGACTTCAAGCTGTACACCAGATCCTCATTTGTGTTGATAGGTCAAGTAAAATCAGAGTTATGACAAAGAATTTACAGCGCTTTAAAAAAAAAAGTTCATCATATTTGAAGCGTGTTGCAGTGAGGGCAGTACAGACGGGGAAACTGATGGAAAAACACCTCAATCCACCTTCTGGTCTCACTTCCACCCTGCCAAACAAACATAAAATTCCCAAACTCCTTTCTGATTGATGCCTGAAATTATTTGACAACTGACAAAAATCTACAGGAAGAAGAAAAAACATAAAATCTGAATTAAGTCTGGTGGTGATAGAGACAAAGTGAAATCAGGACTGAGCCATWAGATTTGAGATTTAAGATGGTTAGCACGTTGTTTAGACTACACTTTATATTTAAGCCTTCAGTTTTGTCAGTTTTAGTGTCTTTGTATCTACACAATGAGGTGAATTTTGAACATGGAGTTGAGGACAGAGATGTATCGATCAGAACCTTTTCAGACAGAGGCAGAGATGGGTGGAAAAAACATTCTGATACAGAGGGAGGACTTGATGAGGAGCGCCGTGTGCCAGTCCACATGGGGGCAGAAATCACTGTAACGCCAAGCTGCAGCTAAAGGTTTTTGATGATTAATTGCACATGATACGATTTTGACTGATCCTAACCCCATGCTTGAAAGAATAAAAAGCTGCCCATGGTGAGAGGTGCCATGGTGTGAACCTACCTACAGGTCTACAGGTCTACAGTTCTCTCCAGTAAATAAAACGGTGGCTTTCCTGTGCTTTCAGGTGTGGCTCTAACTGTTGCTTGTACCTACATGACAGTTCAGAGTACTCTGGCTTCTTGAAGTCCTTAAAGGGATCCCCGATTAGTTGTAACATTAGACTTTATTTGATAAACATTTATTTTAACTGTAAAATAAAGACTGTAAAAATACTGTAGGATGTTCAGTTTTGTCAACTTTAAAAAATATATTTTAACACAGACGGAGCCATTTTATTTACACGCAAAGCATTCTGGGTAAATGATGACATCAACTAGGTCATCGGTGCGAGGCTGGTAGCGAGCAAGCTACTCAGCCTGTAACTGAAAATATGGATGGAGGACAACAGAGCTGCTTCATGGAAGAAGAACCTCAGCTTAGCCTGTTAGCCTTTGTGCTAGCACTGATGCTATATTGCCTTATATGTATTAGCTCAGCGCTGGCGAGACAAACAAGCAAAACTGAGGTCCTCCATCCATATTTTCAGTTGCAGGCTGAGTCATTTCTACCTTCTCCTCTCTGGTTTCATTTAAAAGAGTCGATCATCAGATATTGTCCAAGATTAACCTTCAGGGTGGATATAGCTCGCTAGCAGCCTCTCACTGATGACCTACCCACGTCATCATTTACCCAGAATGCTTTGCATGTAAATAAAATGGCCCCGTCCGTGTAATATATTTTTAAACTTTTAGTTTAAAAATTATAAAAACTAAACATCTTACAGTATTTTTACAGTATTTATTTTACAGTTAAAATATATGTTTATTAAATAAAGTCTAATGTTACAACTAATCGGGGATCCCTTTAAAGGGGGTGCTGGAAGGTGCTCCAGCTGGCCCTTAGCAAAAAGTAGTATACTTGAAGTTCATTTGAATAAGTATACGAGTATAACTTTAAGTATATCAAGTATACTAGGCACCATGTACTTGTAGTGTACTAGAAAGTATACTGATTTGCTTGTTCGTACTAAATGGAGACCTATATTGTTATAATGGCTTCTTTAAGTACGTCATTAGGTATAATAAAGTGTATAAAACTGTACTTCCCTAAGTGTACTTTTATTCACCATGTAAACTAATATACTAGCAGTTTACTGACAAGTATACTTCTAAGACTAAATTGGCCTACAACAAGTTTATGAAAGTATACTTAGAACTATACAGAAAGTAATCTTCTAAGTATACTTTTAGTTTCATCTTGAAATATACTACAAATAATCCAGTTTGTTTGAAAAGTGTACTTCTAAAGTTTATCTTGGCCAAAAGTTTAAATATTAGTATAAACTAAATATACTTAAACTTTTAGTATACTTTTAGTACAAGAGAAATATAGTGCAAGACAGGGCTATTTAAATGACGGCCTGCGGGCCGCTCACGGCCCGCGAGAGTCCAAAATGTGGCCCGCCAATTGGTTCATAGATCTCTTAAGTCCAAACCCCCGGATTTCAACTTTAATTACTTTAAGTTCTTTTAGCTAGACATACACATGTTTGGTGTCTACAGAAACGTCAGAATCTTGGCTAGAAGCAGGTAAAAACCATTTCTATGAATATCTAAGACAGGTAAAACTACAATCAGTTGAAGATAAAACTATGAAAGTGAAAATAAAACTGGTTTAAAAATTTGGCAGGTCAAATATGTCAAAATAATATTTGTGTTAAATAGGAGGCAGAATGTGTTCTTTTTGTTTTTGATATATTTTTACTATCACTAAATTTATTACATAGGGTTCTGCATGTTGTATTCATGATAAAATGCAGCAAAATAAACTATTTCAAAGGTAACAGATCTTTGTAATACTTGGTTTATTTACAAAATGACTTTAACTGCTGGATGTTCGGCCCCTGAGCTGTTGTTCTGCATTAACTGTGGCCCACGGAGCAATTTAGTTGAATAGCCCTGGTGTAAGATAAACTTGGTTAAGTTAGCCTGGCCCTTGCCTTCCTACGCAGCTCTGCTCAAGTCTAGTTTCCTTCACTGCATTTCTCCCAAAGACAACGATTTCTTTGGGTGCATTTCATTCGGGCCAATCAGAGAACAGAACGTCGATTTTTTTGCACAGAGTCTGCTTGTAGTTTATTTTACCTGGGCCAATCAGCAAACAGAAGGCGGAGTTTTGAACGATGTCGATTTTCTGCGCAGCGTCTGCTAGTTATTTTAGCATACGGCAGTGGAGGAAGTGAATGAAGCCAGTCTGTGTTGATAAGGCTTCCAAATTAAAATAAATTTGTCTGACAAAGCAGCAGCTCTCATTTACAGTCGTCTCGTTCGGCTCGGTACTTCTCTCCTCTCAGTAGGGTTGTTTACAGCRCACGCRATTTCYGGTTAGCTTCTTAGCTTAGCCTCCTTCACAGCAACATATGTCACGGCCAACTGATCCAATCGTTTTAAACTTCAGCAGAGGCCACGCCTCCAGCAAGAATCGTTTCTCTATAGCCGAGAGTCCAGAACCTCGTATAAAGCAAAGTGAAGGACAGGGGTCTGGTTCTTACCGTTAAGTATATCTCAGATAAGGACATAAAAAGTAAACTGGAAGTATACTCTTTTATTTTTAGTTTAAAATAAGTATACCTAAAGGATACTTGCATAAAGTACTTTTTGCTAAGGGGGAGGAGTTCAAAGCTCCTGTGGGAAAAATGTGATCAAAWATCTGGCACTGCAGCAAACTCACAGGCTCTTTAGTGAAACATGAAGTAAATGGRCATGAAACCAACAATGTAGCTACTGAAGAGGTGGAGATAGAAAGAGACTGAATAGGATTACGCTAAGGAAGTACTGGAGACAAACTGGAAACAAGTGAAAACAGATCCTGACACAAGTACTCTAGGATCCATCCATGTACTTATATAGCGCCTTTCTATCCAACCAGGGTACTCAAAGCTCGTCACACTACAATCTGTGTCCTCAGACACCACATTGAACACATGACAGAGAAATAATTCAAGAGATGTTTTATAGAGTGTACATTTTAATTTAAATGATTCTCGAATTATCTTCCATCAAAATACAAACCCTTGACCCCAGCTCACCTGCGATATAGAGCGATGCATTGTGACTGACCACCATGCCAGCAGAGTTCCTGGCAATGCAGGCGTAAACTCCTTCATGTGACTGACCACGCCTGACCTCTCCCACATTCAAAAAGAAGAGGCTCCCCTCCGAAAGAACTATGGGTTGAAGATGGCCGTCTCCCCTCCCCGTCTCCAGGGGCTGACCATTGTGCAGCCACTCGATAGTCGGCTTGGGGTTGCCGTCCACCCGGCAGGACAGTGTGGCAGGGTTCCCCACTTTCACCACCACATCAGAAGGGTGGTGGACTATACGGGGCGGCATCTCATCTGCCCAAACCCAAGCACCTGAGAACAACAGAGCACACTGTAAAGATGTGTAAAGCTATAAGTGAAACACTGAAAGTTAAAATCATCCCTTGAAAAAAATTATCCATTCACAAACCACATTAGAAAGAGAAATGTTCATTTGCTTTGTTCTGATGGAAGGTAATAGACCAATATAGAAGTAAATAATGTTTACTATTTTAACACTTTAACATACAGAAAACAGAAAACACTCTTTAAGAAGTCTTCAGTTAATCCAAAATGCTGCTGCTAGAGTTTTAATGAGAGTTGGAAGGAGAGATCATATTTCTCCAGTTTTAGCTTCTCTCCACTGGCTCCCTGTCAAATTCAGAAGAGAATTTAAAACATTATTCCTAACATACAAAGCTCTTAACAACCAAGCTCCATCATATATTAAACATCTTATTGTTCCATACTTTCCTAACAGAGCACTTCACTCTCAGACTGCAGGTTTACTTGTGGTTCCTGGAGTTTCTAAAAGTAGAATGGGAGGCAGAGCTTTCAGTTATCAAGCTCCTCTCTTATCGAATCAACTTCCAGTTTCTGTCCGTGAAGCTGACACTCTGTCTACTTTTAAGATTAGACTGAAGGCACCGGCGTAATTTACACGGGGGATGGG